CTACTTTCAATATTGGTCCTGAGGGGTTAATCTGTCCTGGATTCCCTGTTTCCAGCTCTTATCTGTACCCGTGTACATGCCCTGGTCTAGCCTGATTTATAAGGTAGAATTGGGGTCAATAGTGTGGGGAGGAAGCATTAAAGAACTAGAAGAAAGTTGTTTGCTTCAACAGTGCTACATTGCACCCAGACTGCCTCTTCTCTTCCTTGTGACTCTTCTGTAAGGGGATGAATGTGACTTTTTAAAGGACTATTTCAATATAAAGATTTTTAAATCACTGACTTAGGAGATTTTAGAAATACGTGGTGCCTGGAACACTGTTAAAACAGCATACACTAATAAACATAACATTTACTAATGTTATACAGTAATGTATAATGTAAAACTAATAAATATAACACTGTTAAATATTGCTAAGTAGAATTTATTCAGATAAAAAGTTGTAATCTAAAACTCAGTAATAACTCATTTATGGGTATCTATGTATTGAGCTGAATCACTCCCCAAAAGTCCAATGGACTCTAAATTTGCATTAGTTCACTGAAAATTAGTTTATATCTAATAAAATGAAGGATGGGATAAAATTTAAGTAACTAAAGGTTGTAAGTTTTCTCTAGCTATATTCCCTTGGTAATCGATTTTTTTAACCACTAAAATTCAGTAAGTTACAGTTCTGATTCCAAAGCATATCACCTGAGAACATTTTATCAAGTATCCACATCAAGGGTTTTTTTAATATAGTTTAACGAAGCCAGCTCTGAATATTTGCATCAGTTGAGGGGCTTTTACTGCCTTCATTTGTAGAACATCCAAGACACAAGGTGTGGTCCTCAAGTTGCTGAAAATCAGTGACCTGAGGGATCTCAAAACTTGGTCATTTAAGTTTTTTATTCAAAGGGATTCCCGTTTTTTATTGTAGGAGAAATAACATCAGAAGAACTACAACAGCGACTAACCGGAGTCAAGGAGCAGCTCGCGTCTCATTCTGACTTGAGCAGCGGGGGAAGGGAGGCAAGCTCCAGAGGTACTGCGGATGCTCCTCCGTAAGGAGGGGGCTTACGTGGAGCAATGGTGAAAGGGAAGTTCTTGGATCTTGTACACTGTATGTGCAAGTTCCAGTTTTAGTGTGACACCCATTCAGATAGTACTTAGGAGTGTGCTGCATGCAAAGCAGTGTGCTCAGGCACACAGGACAGGCATAGGGGCTCAAAGACGAAAGCTTGTGTAGTTTGCCATCACGGAGCTTGACGCAGTAGGCAGTGAAGTTCATTGCCAGTGTAACCAGCAAGCGGTCCTCTAGTCAGAATGTGTCCGGATTCAGCTGGCTTGCTCTGAGGGTGACCACACTACATCCTCCAGAGCCCAGCTGCTAGAACATGAACTGCAGAGCCAGGTGCAGCGACGTAAGAATCAGGCAGCTGCTTTTGGTTTCCTTGTGTTAGTGTTGCTTGGCTTGTCTGCCTTTATTAAGTAAGCCCCGAGCCAGAGGACGGTGAGTCCACTATACACTATGCCGTTGAGTTGGTTTCTGGCTCACGGACCTTCTCTCGGGTTTTTGAAGCTGCAAATCTTGACAGGAAGAGACCGCTTCATCCTTCTCCCAAGGAGTGACTGACTCATGGGTTTGAACCATCCGTCTTTGCTGTTAGCAGTCTAGTGCTTACCTGACAGTGCCATCAGGGCTCCTATTCATAACAGAGCATTTATTTTAAAATATTCTAAGTAAGCAGCATGTGGTGTCGAGCACATACCCTGGCTCTCTCCCAGAGGTGTGCATTCTCAGCAGTCAGTTACACTTAGGAGCAGCCATCTCAAGTTGGTGGGAAACTTCCATGATCTTTTCATTCCCATTTTCCCCTGAGGTTATTAAAGCCCCCTTGCATTAGATTGGTAATTATACTCATTAGGGGAAAAGATATGAAAACCCAAACAGGCAGTGTCTCAATAACAGTAGTTTCTCTCTCTCGTGTGGGCATTCAGGGGAGAGCGAGGCAGAGGGCTGCAGTCTGCTGGTCTGCCCAGCAAGCCCAGGGTTCCCTTCCCTGTGCTGCCTCGCACAGCAGCTCCCAGCCCCATGCGATGATCTCGGTGGACACTAGTTAACACTGAAACAAAATGGAGTCTTTTAGTCAGACTATCTATGTGGCAAGTGGACAGCAGGTGGAGGTAGCCACTGGGGACCAGGCAGACTCGGACCCACAGCAGGGTGTCAGCTGCCATGAAAAAGGAGGCCCCCAATGTCGGAACCGACTAGATTGCAGTGGGAGCAGTGCAGCGGCTCACCTGCAGGGGATGGGAGCACCCACGTGCAGCAGCACACTTGAAGGCTGTGTCCACACTGAGTGAGCGAGCCTCGGGGTGAGGAGCGACAGGCTGCACATATGCCCAGCGGCTGTACCTCACAGTAGAAAATGGTAGGATAATTTTAGCAAATTCACACATACCCAAATCAGCAAGTCTTAAGATCAAAAGTAGAAGGTAGTATTTAGAGTCATTAATGTTTATCGCGCTTGATATTAACCCCCGCCCCTCCCCACCCAGCTGACCTGGAGGCTGGATACGGACGGACCTGTTGCTCTCTGTGCTCATGTGTTACATTACTTGGTTGTGACTCTAGTGAGCGTGGCATGTGGAGCGTGTTTTTAAAGAAGATGCGTTCATTGAGGCGAAGGTTGCTGTTTATTTTATTGGCACCAGCAGCTGATTAACAGCTCTTAACTTTGTTGCTCAAAATAATTTTTTTTGCAGAGAAATTTTAGTAATGAAATTAAACAAAATCTGTCTTATATATTTTTGAATAGCATAGTCTTTAAGGTATACATTTGTATGGGTACTGTGGATGAGAGTACATTCTATTGGGTGTACACTTGTTTAAAAATGTAAATTTGAAGTCAAAGAAGTGCATCTAAGGCACATTTATTTCTAAATTTCTTCACACAAGTATTAGCAGAGCCTGATTTGCATCAGACACTTTTTTAGATGCTGGAGATAACAGTGAATGGAACTTGAGAAAAGTCCTTGTCCTCCCAGATCTCACACTCAAGGAGCAAAGAAAACACATTATTATACAGATGACCCCCTTGTTACATTAGCATCAAGTTGGTCATGACTCACAGCCGTCCTGTAGGACAGAAGAGAACTGCCTGGAAGGGTTTCAAGAGCTGTTACCTTACCCCTACTCACCCCCCCCCCCACCCACCCCCCCACCCCGCAGTGGTTGCATGCAGATCACTGGCCTTTCAGTGGGCACCCTCGCTTTTAACCCCTGGCCACAGCCGGGATGCCACATTGGGCAGTATCATTTCTTGAGTGCTTTCCATTTTAGGTATTCTGATTATTTCCTAGTCTGTATTCATAGTCCTGTGAGGCTGATCTTATATTCATCTCCAATTTACGGATAAGAATACAGACGTCAGGAACTAGGCGGCTTTTTGTCCATGTGGCACAGAAAGACGATGTGATGCTGATCATGTGTTAGGAAGCCAGAATTCTCGAGGTGCCCATTTTCAGCAGTTCTGTGATTTTATTTAAACCACCACAAGCTTCTGAGTGGTGTGGTCCTCCCTGAAGGAAGGAGTGCGCACGGATGCACCACTGCAGTTTACTGGCATTGCCATATGTAGAAAGCACTGTGAATGTGCAGGTTTGGTATTGGGCACATTTCTCACTTGCCACACCGTTTTGCCAATAATCACTCTTAAAAAGCCTAAACCGCTGCCATCGCGTTGAATCCGACTCAGGACAAAAGAGAATTGCTCCTTAGGGTATTTGACACTGTAAATCTTTATGGAAAGAGACTACCTCATCCTTCCTTCTCAGAGCAACCTGATGGGTTTGAACCATCAACCTTGTGGCTACCAGCCCAAGCAGTGCTGAGCACACTACACAACCAGGGTTTCTTTGCCAATCGTATATAGAAAACTCAGGAGGGAACTTGGGCCCACACATTTCTACTAATAGTATTTAAGTGGTTGTAGTACAGGAGATGCAACTTTTTGCTCCTGTGAAATCTTTACAGCCTTGGAAACCCAAAAGGGCTATTCTGTTCTCTCCTATAAGGTTGCTGTGAGTCAAAATTACCTTGACAGCAGTGAGAAAATGCCTAAGTCCTATTAAAGTTTTATGACATACTTAATAGTACATACCTCTCTCTTAAGAAGTTCCTTGAATGCTGTTTTGCCATTTTCTTAAACCTGTTCTTAATCTAATTTATGCCCTGGTGATTGTCAGGTTAGTAGTGGACTGCTAACCATAAGGTTGGCAGTTCAAACCCACCAGCTACTCCTTGGGACAAAGTTGAGGCTGCCTGCTTCTGCACAGATGCACAACCTTGGAAGCCCTATTTAGGGCTGCTGTATGTCAGAATTAACTGGCAATGGGTTTAGTTTTGTTTAAATATAACTTATTTTTTAGAAACACTTTTTTTGTCCTTTAGTTTTTAGGGATTCATCTTTGTGTTCTTTTCCAGACTCTGAAGTCCACAGAGAAAATTCAAACGAAGATTCACTGTTAGAATGGTTGAATACCTTTCGTCGGACTGGCAATGCCACTCGAAGTGGCCACAATGGGAACCAAACTTGGAGAGCCGTGAGTCGAACAAACCCCAACAGTGGCGAGTTTCGGTTTAGTCTGGAAATCCACATCAACCATGAGGATGGAGGATTAGAAGTCCGCGAAGATGATGAGGTGGGCGCTCCAGCTGTGGGTGTCAGCGGAGACCAAGCGCCCAGTACGAGGCCCTCAAGATCAAGCAGCCCCGTGGCACGGCGGACCAGAAGCCAAACCTCAGTGGGAAGCAGTAGTGGTGCTTCCAACACAGCAAGGACTAGGCTTGGTTCCGGGGAGCTGAACTCCGTGGAAGCCTCCCACTCCATGTCAGGGAGGTTAAGAAGTAGGGCTAGGCGGCCCATCGGCCTTCCTAGGACTCGTGCTCCCCTTGATCATGGTAGCGATCACACGTACCAGGCGGAGGGTAGTGAACTCAGGCAAAGGGAGGGACAGCGGTTTGGAGCAGCACATGTTTGGGAGAACGGGGCAAGAACTAACGTTACTGTGAGGAATACAAACCAAAGATTAGAGCCAATCAGGTTACGGTCTTCCTTTAGCAGTCGAAGCCGGTCCCCAATTCAAAGACAGAGTAGCACCACTCCCAGAAATTCCCAAAGGCAAAGCCGGCCTTCACAGCATTCTCTGAGAAGGTCTGTTAGGAGAAGGGGTGCAACTCCCGTCTTCTCAGAGCAAGATCAAGAACCCCAAAGTGCCCCACATACCCCCTTCTCTAATTCAAGACTCGTGTCCAGGATAACTGTGGAAGAAGGAGAAGCCAGGAGGCCCGCAGCCACAGCACGGCGACACCCCACAATCACTCTGGACCTTCAAGTCCGAAGGATCCGGCCTGGCGAGAACCGAGACCGGGACAGTATTGCCAATAGAACTCGCTCCAGAGCAGGCCTGGCGGGAAACACGGTCACCCTGGAAAGCAATAGCGGGGGCTTTCGCCGCACCATTTCCCGTCTGGAGCGGTCCGGGGTGCGCACTTACGTCAGCACTATAACAGTGCCTCTCCGCAGGGTGTCCGAGGCAGAGCTGGCGGAGCCGTCGTCCGTGGCGCTCCGGTCCATTTTAAGGCAAATCATGACGGGCTTTGGAGAACTGAGTTCTCTCATGGAGACCGAATCCGAGGCAGAGGCCGAGAGAGGAGGCAGGCAGAGTTTCCCAGAGCCATCCTCAGACTCCAGCAACTCAGGCATAGCTAGCAGAAGCAGCCAGCGCAGTGAAGGGTCCCCTCTACCCCGAGGAGACAGCCCTGGGATGCTGGGCGAAAGTGACTCCACCCAGCATCAGGCTGAAGACCGTGACAGGCGAGGGGACAGGCTGTCGAGACCCGCACACACGTTCGTCGACACCGGAACACTACCTATTCTTCGCCTGGCTCACTTCTTTCTGCTCAATGAGGATGACGACGACGACCACGTGCGGGGCTTAACCAAAGAGCAGATCGACAATCTTTCCACCCGGAACTACGAACACAGCAGCACCGACGGCGAGCTCAGTAAGGTCTGCAGCGTGTGCATCAGCGACTATGTCGCTGGCAACAAGCTCAGGCGGCTACCGTGCATGCACGAGTTCCACATCCACTGCATCGACCGCTGGCTGTCCGAGAACTGCACATGTCCCATTTGTCGGCAGCCGGTCTTAGGGACCGGCATCGCAAACAGTGGGTGACACGGATGCAAGATGGCACGCCAGCAGTGTGGGCTTCTCAAGCATCCTTTCCTTGACTTGCCTGTGATGCATGGACCAGGGTGAAAGTGAACAGATTATATACAGTTTGAACTATTTTTGTGTGTATACGTGTGTGCTTTTTTTAATTAGTTGAAAAGAGATTTATATAAGTTGACCATGCAGACGTTCAATGACCTAAACGTACAGCAGAATTCATCCTGCTCGAACCAAATAACCTTGAAAATGTTTTTATTTTGGTAATTTTGTCAAGCTAAGCACTTTTGTATCTGCAGAATTCAGTGGGCTGAGAAGCCAACCTTCCTTTTCCTAATAGGACAGCAGTGTACTTGGACGGTGTCCGGGCACAGATGTCCAAATAAGCCTTCCGTTTGTTTTTTTTGTGAAAGAGTGTCCGGCTGGAGGTTTAATATGCAGCACACACCATTCTTGTACATATAAGAGGTGATTTTTAAGTTAAAAGAGTTCATCTAAAAACTACCAGTTGGGTATTTATTTAAGTTTTGGGGCTATTTCTGCAGATGGCGCGTTAAACATTGACAAAGATCATCTCTGGGAGGAGGGAGACGAAAATGTCATGAAAAACAGACCTTACTGATTGAAGCGAGTCTGACAATCTGACCTCTCAGCAAGCAATATGCCACGTTGATCGAGTATTTCTTTATTCTGAAATGAAAAGTGGAATTTTAGAACACAGAGGTTATATAACTTGAGTTCAGCCTATTTTGGTAACTTTTGAAAGTGCAAACAATTCCTCGGGTTAAGTAAGGTACATAATATGCATGGTTTCTCTAATTTTAAAATTTAAAGTCTAAAAAGAACCAGATGCTTAGATAACATGTTAAGTTCACATGGAGGCCAAAATAATAATAATAATAATAATAAAAACTTTAAGAGAATGTACACTTTATATCAAAAGAAAGTATGTATTAGAGATCTATTTCTACCAATAAATATTTGATCTGTTGTTTTGAGTTGATCCACTGTGGTTTATTCACCCTAAAAAACATTTGGGTGTTGAGGATTTAGCAGCAGATAGAAATCTCTGTTGGACAAGACACCTTTGTGTTTAGAAACTAAAAGCTGTGTGATAAAATGTTTCCTGAATTGTCATTGATCCTCGATAGTGCAGTAGGTTAGGCATTGGACTGCCGGGGCCAAGTCTGAGATTGACCTTTCCCGTAGAGATGAGCAGCTTCAGAAACCTTCGGGGCAGTTTGCCATCGGCCTGCTCTGAGTTGTCATTGATTGGCTCAGTGGCAATGAGTTTGGCTTCTTGAGTTTAGTCCTTATTTTAATGTTTGCTTTCTGAAAGCGGGGGACCACTTTTCCTTTGGTTTACTGCTAAGACTCAAGCATAAGACCTCAGGGCCCAATGTGTATGGTTTAGATAAAGTAAAATCACAACATAGGATTCACACGCACATGGGCTTATTCCAAAGAAAACATGCTTAACCATGCCCATGGCTGCAGACAAAGCTCTCTAATGTGCTTGTCATTCTCGGGGTACTTAACAAAACACTCATTGTGCCTGGTAAAACAACGTTGAGATTGGGCTACTAGCGAATTTTTGACAAAATGCAAGTGGACACTTTTCCAAGTCACCAAAACTTTACAATAAAATAGAACACTGGTACGCATAAAACCGCAGCCGCACACCTCCTGCCCCCTTGGGATGTAATCCAAATAATTCACTAGTTCTAAGAAGAGTTGTTCAATCATTACCACAAAAGGTTTTTCTTAAAGGGACTGTTAGGCTAGGTTGACTCGCGAAACATCCCAGTGACACACATGTACGGGAGCTTTATATCAAGAAAACATTCCAGTGACTTTGTATAGGAGCTTTGTATCAAGTCTATATCAAGAAAACATCCCAGTCCGGTCCAACTCAAGTCCGTAAGTCTGATAGTAGACCATAAGTCCCTCTTCTGACTCATGCGGCCGCATGCAGTGATGCAGAGTGCAGGAGTATCATGGGCTGCTTGCTGCAAAGTCGCATGGGTCCAACATGGGTGCAAACCGCAGGGCGCCTGCAGCTCTCGGTGGCTGGCAAGCAGGAAAGTGCAGGCAGAGGGTGCCGCCCTCTCCATTGCACCTCCGAGGGAAGTCATTAGGCTGCGACCTGATTGACAAGCTAAACACCCATGCCTTCTTACAGATGCCACGTTGGCACCAAAACAGCGTGGAGCAAGTGTTTCAAGGATGACCAGGAAGACCTCAAAGACAGGTTGGGGGCCCGTCAGCCTCGGTGAAGGAAGACGCTGGCTGGAGACCTTAAAGAGTCCCCACTGATGCCCTAGCCACGAAGCTGGCATCTTACACGAGTCACGTGGTCTGGCATTCCCAGTGTTCAGTGACCATCTTGGCCTCGGCAAACTTTGGACTCAGTGGGGTCCAGAAACAGATCAGCTAGCTCAGCCTTTTAACCATGATGGAGCCTAATGAAGACCTCTTAGGAACAAATTGTAACCAGGGATGAGCGTTAGGTAAATCCGTGGTACCCAGAGAGCAAGGTTCAGTCACCACTGTGACTTCTGAGAGAGGTCTGCTGAGTCCGTCAGACTCAAGGCAGCGGTGGGATTGCAAGGGTCATCTTCATAGAATTTTTTCTTGAGGGACACATGATCGGGGGTGGGGGGCGGGGGGCGCTTATGGAGGGAGAGGTGTTTAAACTTTTGAAAATAGTGTTGCTGAAAAGAGAAGTCCAGGAAAGTTGGACCCAGGGATTTTTTTCCATTACAACAATACATGTGAGACAACCCATTGACCTACAGCCTATGGACTTTATGGTGCTCAAAATCAGAGAACGTTTATAAGGGAACATGATTTGAGATAACCCTCCCCCCCCCCCACACCCAAGGATGCCCAAACTTTTGATAGAGTGTAAATTGAGGAGCACAGAATTTGCAGGGGGCTAGAGAGATGGAAATGCCACCTTTGGATGGGTGTAGACCTAGGTGGAGGTTATGTCCAGAAACAATAGCTGTATATTTTTATATTTTGGCTTAATTAAAGTTTTATAATTAAACTTTTATAATTTTTGGACATCTCCTTACAGAAGGGTCACAAGGAAGAGACGAGCCAGTCAGGACCCAGTATAGCACCAGTGAAACATACAACTTTCCTCTACTTAAAAAAAAAAAAATTTATTAAGGGCTCATACAACTCTTTTCACAATCCCTACATACATCATTGTGTCCAGCACATTTGTACATATGTTACCATCATCATTCTCAAAACCATATATTGGCCGCTGGTTTAGAGCATATACAGCTTCCTGGAGAACATTGCCCCAGCCCCGCAAGTTGTTGCCACCTAGTTGGCGCCGTAATTGTGTCTTTAGGAGCCCATTCCATCGTTCTATCAA